GTGAGTGATCAGAATGAAGTGACGAGTAATAGAGATAGCTATGTGTGTCGGTATCCTTGTAGTACACCAATGTCTGTACCTTGCCGTTGATTGCTATTGAGAAATAGAGATTACTTCATGGAAAACGTGAGCGTACGATTTTTATTCACGAGTTGAGTTTTCTGATACGTATCAAAGAGTGAATAAAACTCGTACAAAGCATTTTCCATGCTGTAATGTGTTTATTTCATAGGTACTGAGATTTTTTCGTGTAGTATTTGGTAGACAAATTGCACAAATGGGGCAATGAAAAGCGTAAAAAAATAGTTTGAATGAATGAATAAATGAAAGACTTTATTATTATTACAACTAAGTTAATGAAAGCTTATAAAATTTACAAAACTTACTGTGTTCATCATATATCAATAAAGTCAAATGTCCAGAATGCTTTCGTTTTGAATTCCTGCCTTCTGAACCATTGTCTTCATTGAACCGTTGAGTTTGTTAACGCCAGCAGCACCGGACTTGAACCCGCCTTTTCTTGCGAACGAGTCTGCCTTTAAAGTGTTTTTTACGGCCAGATAAAAGGGAGCATCATCTTGATTCATTCCCTCAGGTCTCTTACTGGCAAAAATTTGTAAACCGCTCCAGGATCTCTTTCAGTTCCCTCGGTCGCAAACATTTTCGGTGGTACAGCTCTGACATCGCTGTAGTCTGATCCAGTTCTAGTTTTTGTGTCTTTGAAATTAAACTCCAATTACTCTACTCCGCTTGCCGTTTTGTGTAGCTTTACATCTCCCCAGCACATATCACGATGTTCTTTGCAACCAGGGAGTCCAACGTGAAGAGTGCTGTTTGACCAGAGCGTGTTTGAAAGTGCCTCGGTACTACACATACCAAGCAAACCCTTGTCGTACAATACCTTTAACTCTCCGCTTGTCAAAGCTACTGATGCGTCGGGTTTATTTCCTTTTCCTTTCTTCTTTAGCCGTTTTTGAAGAACTTTTCTGGTTTTCTCAAAGACCAAGTGGTTGATTATGCTGGAAGAATAGCCCTTTTTCTTCAAGTGTCGTTCAAAGCTGGAAATTAAACTTCAAAGCGAAGTTGGCTCGTAATCGAGGCCATCTTTAGTGCAAGCAGTGATGATAGATTGGCCAATGTTTTCTTTCAGCTCAGCGGCTGAAATATCTTCAATTTTCCTGTCTTCGTCCTTCGTTTTCAAAAATCTTTCAGGCAATTTTATATCTCGTTCACTTTTTTGAGCAGTATTTTTTTTTTATTGTTCCAAAATAAATTCTTCAACTGAGCAAACAGAAGCAAACCTTCCCACGGCCATTTTTAAGCGATGACGTATTGTGTGACGTCATCGTTCTATGCTGGCATGCATGCATTCCTTTGGATAGTGATTTTGCATAGTCTTTCGCGCTTATGTCCGTGCGCTTATGTCGCGCACTTTTTATCCCCCTGTGGAACCGAAATGCTTTGCGGCTTTCCTTTGCTGTTTGTAGGATCAGTGGAGTGCTTTTAACTTCAGCTTTTAACGAAGATTTGGGGGTTGATTTTAGTTTATACAGTGTCGGATAAATTTGCGCTCACTGGCAAACTCGTAATAAGAACATATCGTCCATACATTCATATTTGGATGGACAAGCAAGTCGCACACGCGATAGTTGAAGGGTCTACATAAAATTTACAGATTGATAGCGCAGTTGTACTTTTGCCAGTCTTGAAGTGAATTGAAGGAGCATTGAATGAGCACTGAAATATACAGTTTACAGTAGTGATAATGAAGTCAGGGT